ACTGTTTATATCAATGAAAAAATTATCAATTACAGTGCATGAGGAGATGCCAACTCTAGTGGGGAATGTTACAATACTAGTAAGATTATATGATTGTAGGACAGCATCAAGTTGCTTCTTTCTGTTATCATCATTTAAATAATTTACATTTATATCACCACATATAATTATATTGTATCTCTCATGATATAATTTCTGTAGAATCATATCTAATCTTTCCAGGAAATTTGTAAAATTACCCATAGGAGATCTGTAAATAGTTAGTATACAATTTTTTTTTGTTCCTGGTAAGTTCTTAGTCAGCTGAATTGCACACGCTTCGATGTCCTTGTCTACAGTAAATTCTTCTAAATTTATGGTCTTAAATTTTAAATTTCTATATACAAATATACTTACACCTCCTTTTTGAAAAAATTTCCTACAATATTTAGCACCTAATGAGTAGTCATTTAAATGTATCAGTTGAAGTTCTGAATCTCCAAGATGATGTTCAGACAAGCACATAATATGTGGTAGATCATGTAGTAAGTACTGGAAGTAGCATGTGATATTCTTGTAAATGAATACTGATATTATTTTGTAATGGTAATATTTTGAATGTAGTGAAATTTTGTCGTTTCAGAGTAAAAAGCAAAAGTGATGAACTGTAGGTGGTCTGTGTGCTATTCCATCTACTGTGGTGTATTTTATTTTAGGAAACATAATGTAATTGTACTGTATTACTGGTTATTTTATAAATGCTATACATTTTTATCTGGTATATCCTACATTCTGCTTTCTTCGAACAGTGTGATGCGTCTGTGTATCATGCAGTCACAACCAGCCACGAGCCACGCTAAGCAGGCGAAGCCAAGTTACAGACACTAAGCAGCGCGATTCCCAAAACGACGTTGTTTTATATCAAAGCCACAAACCTACAATTATACACAAAATAACACAACGCGATTCCCTAAAAGAGCTTCATATGTGGCACTACTATAAGGTTTGATACGCACAAATTTGATGCACCAAACCGGCAAATACATTCGTTACACTTTACAATGGCTCCAAAGAATATTTTCGAAACCTTTTATGCCATGCTTAGTGCACTTCTGTTTAAAAAAACATAATCGTAAGAATACATGTATGTATATATATATATACATTACCTGTGCAAAATCTTGCTCAATATCATCAGCGTACAAATCAATGTCTACTCCATCCGCCATTTTATCTTCAGGCGTCCTCGCAGTAACAAAACACCCCCGTGAGCTTGTATGTGACTGTATTCCATTAGGAATGTAGCATGCTTTGTGAACAGTTGAGTTGGTTGCATATGTCTCTTTTAATATAAGTTTGTTAAAATTGAAAGTCGTGAATCACATTATTTTGTTTGGGTTGAACGAATAAAAGTTTTAGTTTGTTCTATTGCTAAGCAAAAATGTATTTACAAAACGCTGATCGCACAGTCATTTTCTGAACGCACTCCCAACTGTTTATATCAATGAAAAAATTATCAATTACAGTGCATGAGGAGATGCCAACTCTAGTGGGGAATGTTACAATACTAGTAAGATTATATGATTGTAGGACAGCATCAAGTTGCTTCTTTCTGTTATCATCATTTAAATAATTTACATTTATATCACCACATATAATTATATTGTATCTCTCATGATATAATTTCTGTAGAATCATATCTAATCTTTCCAGGAAATTTGTAAAATTACCCATAGGAGATCTGTAAATAGTTAGTATACAATTTTTTTTTGTTCCTGGTAAGTTCTTAGTCAGCTGAATTGCACACGCTTCGATGTCCTTGTCTACAGTAAATTCTTCTAAATTTATGGTCTTAAATTTTAAATTTCTATATACAAATATACTTACACCTCCTTTTTGAAAAAATTTCCTACAATATTTAGCACCTAATGAGTAGTCATTTAAATGTATCAGTTGAAGTTCTGAATCTCCAAGATGATGTTCAGACAAGCACATAATATGTGGTAGATCATGTAGTAAGTACTGGAAGTAGCATGTGATATTCTTGTAAATGAATACTGATATTATTTTGTAATGGTAATATTTTGAATGTAGTGAAATTTTGTCGTTTCAGAGTAAAAAGCAAAAGTGATGAACTGTAGGTGGTCTGTGTGCTATTCCATCTACTGTGGTGTATTTTATTTTAGGAAACATAATGTAATTGTACTGTATTACTGGTTATTTTATAAATGCTATACATTTTTATCTGGTATATCCTACATTCTGCTTTCTTCGAACAGTGTGATGCGTCTGTGTATCATGCAGTCACAACCAGCCACGAGCCACGCTAAGCAGGCGAAGCCAAGTTACAGACACTAAGCAGCGCGATTCCCAAAACGACGTTGTTTTATATCAAAGCCACAAACCTACAATTATACACAAAATAACACAACGCGATTCCCTAAAAGAGCTTCATATGTGGCACTACTATAAGGTTTGATACGCACAAATTTGATGCACCAAACCGGCAAATACATTCGTTACACTTTACAATGGCTCCAAAGAATATTTTCGAAACCTTTTATGCCATGCTTAGTGCACTTCTGTTTAAAAAAACATAATCGTAAGAATACATGTATGTATATATATATATACATTACCTGTGCAAAATCTTGCTCAATATCATCAGCGTACAAATCAATGTCTACTCCATCCGCCATTTTATCTTCAGGCGTCCTCGCAGTAACAAAACACCCCCGTGAGCTTGTATGTGACTGTATTCCATTAGGAATGTAGCATGCTTTGTGAACAGTTGAGTTGGTTGCATATGTCTCTTTTAATATAAGTTTGTTAAAATTGAAAGTCGTGAATCACATTATTTTGTTTGGGTTGAACGAATAAAAGTTTTAGTTTGTTCTATTGCTAAGCAAAAATGTATTTACAAAACGCTGATCGCACAGTCATTTTCTGAACGCACTCCCAGAGGTTTGCAGGTGTCTGCAGTGTATTCAGTAAAATCAAACTTTTTATGTCCATGTATTTCTCTGTAATGACCAAAATTACATTTTAATAAATATCCACCTTTCTTTCCTTAATGCTGTTAATATGTGTCATCCAAATGATTTTAATGTTGATCATGCTTTCAGGTGCTCTTACTGCCTGGAAGTTTATTGTGTTGCCATTTTGGAACAATATCCTTCTTCTTGAGTAGGTGACATTGTTCCATCCTGCACACTTCCCCCCCTGAAGATGGAGGCAAAATATTCCTCCATAACATTGGTAACACCGCCTACTTCCATATCGTGCTGGTGTCCACAAACAGGAACAACTCACCATGACAACTAAAAATCCATCATTTCAATGATTCTTGACATGGTGTTTATTTGGGATTCATCAATGCTTACTCAGTACTCTTCCTAAGTTGGGATTCTCCAATAATCAGATGACAGGTGGTCATTACTGAATGGTAGTGAATTAAAACATGAGTACACTGGAAAACATTCAGGAAATTAAATTATTGTTATACTCCCACATGAGGAAGGATGTTCTTATCACCTAATTTAAGGTACTACCTGGAACATGCCTACAGATAATTGCTCTTGAAACTGGCAATAATAAAGAATAATTCAATAAACTCTAAAATACTTTAAACAAAATAAAAAAATATATAAATCTTAGGCCTGTTTCTCACTATATTTTTGTAACAGATGTCAAAACTGGCAGTCCCTTTTGTGCCTAAGTGATTTCTTATGGCTCTCAAAATCAACATCCTCTTATGAAAAACAGATGGGGCAGTAATACATTACCCAGTAAAAGAAACATATTGTCAATCTCTGCATCAACTGTTTATTCACAATCTGATGGCACAATACTAATGAAATAACAGAGACCAACCAATAAAACCAAAAATACCTTTCAACACAATATGTTTATCTAGTGGATATCCTGTAATTCTGGGACACAAATCAAAACAAGTTTGAAACCACATTTTGCAACTGAGCTATCAGTGTTAGTTACTTCAACACATTTAACTCTTTTGACAAGTTCAAATCCCAGACATCTACATGGCCTTAAAATCTTTTAGTGAGTTATTGTCACTGTATGCGATTGTCCATATAGATGCTTGTATTTCATTCATTTATGAACAGTGCAAACACAATGATTTCAAAATCCCTTCTTCTAACACTCACTCATGGACAGGCAATATTTAATAATGCTGAATTTCACTAATCAGTGGAAAGAATTTCCACATGAAACTTGTATATCACTTAACTTCACCTGTCTGCACTTCCACACAAATGTCTCACTCAACTTAACCCAGTACCTATGATTTTGAGTTCTTTTTTACATACACAGAAATATGGCTGACTGACCCCTCCTTATACATTCTATGCAATAAAATGGTTTTACAATATTCATGAAAATAAAGAAGAAAAAAGTTACACATTTAGAACTTTTCATGGCACTTTAATGCAACTGAAACAGTTTCACCCAGTACCATTAAAACCAATGAACTGTTTCTCTCTCTCACACATGCCCAGCACTCCTATTGGTCCCCACCCACTCCTGATTTGACACCTGCTCCCATTGGTTGGGGGCAGGCTACTCCATTCACTGTCCACCTAGCCCCACCCACCCAATTGGCACATTCATCGCCCTGATGATGGAGGCAGTATGACCTCTGAAATGCTGGTAAACATCTACCATACTACACAGCACAACAACCCAGAAGACAGAAATCTTCAATGAACTGTTGATCTGACATCCATTAGAAATCATATTGTGAGAAAACATTCTATTGCAACACGTGAAAGACCAGCCTTCCCTATGGACCACCAATTTCAATATGTCGGAAAAAAGTATCGTGTGAAATGGGCCTAAGTTTATTGTTAACAGAACAGGAAAACTGTTTATCTCAGACTTTCAACAAAAAATTAGAAGCACATATTGACTTTCCAGATGATAAAAAGAATATTTTTACAAGTTTTGGTTATTAGTGGAAAGCTGAAAAATTGTATGCTAACATTACTGATGAATTACAGTATTATGATATAGGATCAAATGATGCAACAATAACAGACTCATTAATTACATTTCACTGTTAAGTTAAATTGTTTTGAGGACTCCTGACGTAAATACTCAACAATAAACACTATCTACCACAATTCTATTTTTAAAAAATAATACTTTATTTCTTCCTCATAAATCAGATGTGGCAATTTTTGAATTAGGTAAATTATGCAAATAAATATGGTATACAGAAATGGAAAATATGGAAGAATGTTGTCTAAATATACAGAAAACATGTTTGTGATCTGAACTTTATTCTCTACTACTACTCAATCTCTGCAGAGTAAAATCCTCTCTTGGAGGAAATCACATACCAGGTATGAAACAAAAATACATTAGTACTATAATATGTACAAGTAAACTAGAGAATGTAAATAGACATCTGACAAAAGAAAATGCTTACATTCATTTCGCAGTTTCATTGCTGAACAGCAAGCACATACAGAACAACTTCTGCATAATGGATGACTCAGAGAAGTCAGTCACTAAACATGGGTCAATTCCTCCCCCATCTCAATCAGCTCTCTCTCTCTCTCTCTCTCTGACACAAACAAACAGGCACACATACTAAACTTGATTCCGATGATAACAAATATGGTACACCTGAGGCTAGCCAGGATGGGACAAGGGAATAACATACTTCACTGAGTAGTGAAGAAGGAAATGGAGAGGGGTGCATGAAATAGAAGAAAACAACTTATTTCACTTGGACACAAACAGCTAATACTAAACACATGTGAACAATTTTAAGGTACCTGAATTAATCTGTGGTTGATACTAGGAACAAAGTAAATGTCAAAAATTCAATTCATCATTCTATACAAAATTATTAATTCCTGATGACAATGAAGAAGAGGAAATATCATGCAGATGAAAGCACAGTTTAACTGATAATATATCTGTATATATTATAAGTGTATTTATCTTTATAATATTTATGAACTGCATTTTTATAATAAACCAACTTTCCATTCAACAGTTTTCTCTACTTATTTACGACGGACATTTTAACACTGGATTTATTAATTTGCACAGAAGTAGGCCACTATTTTGTCTCATTATTTTTCTTTCTTTAAAAATCATACCAATTTATTTCAGCACTCGTCAGAAGTTCAACCTATCAGTGGAGTTATACACTACTTAAAAATTACTGCCACATTATTTGCCGTGACTTTTTCACCGGATGAAAAAGAAAACAGACCAAACTGATCAGCCTGTTGTAACATTATTCACACAATAAACAAATGCTAGTCTGACCACCTGGACACTGCTGGTATAGTAACTGGGCGATTTCCTGGGAACTTCATTCTGTGCCATACCTAGGCTTCAGTATATTGTGACAATAAACATTATATAATGAAGTAAGCTATGCATAGCATATTCCCAAAATGTCTTCAAATTGCGCAATTATGTTCACCAAAAACAATGCACAATTTTGTATATGCTTGCCAATCATTGACATTTAAAGTTGAGCTATGACAGCTAATTCTAATACCTAGTGCTCTGCCATTAAAATATTTAGAAATGGTGTCAATTAAATCAGTTCAGTAATTAATAACAATAAATTACTTTTTCACTTACATAAAAGATCTTTCTAGATTCAATTGCTGTGTACATATCAAATTAATTTAAAAATGTTCATACTTTACCATGAATTCAATGATGCCAGATGTGACACTGGAACTACAGACCTGAATGTATACATTAATATTATGTGATGAAATATAACATTTTCCAGTCAAAGCAATTTCATAAATAATGAACACTTGTCAATTGGCCAGTTAATCCCACAGTTGATATCACCACACAGACAAAATGAGCAGAAACACATCTGTGTTAAGAGCTATGGACAGACAAAATATAAGAGTATTTTTAACATTTCTTAAAAAATTTCTTCAAGCACAATAAATGTCAAATAATATTATACACATACAATTCATCAAAAAAATGTGTAAAACAAGGATGAAAATAAAAAAAATTAAAACTGTTCCTAGTAAGTAACTGAATCCAAAGAACAATGAAACAATTTCATAGCTCCACGAGGAGTGGAACTACAACCAGATTTTACTCCTCAGCCCCTTGACTGCATGACCAAATACACATTTAAAGTTCTTTAAACTACCTGAATATCACAACAATATGAAAATCTCACAACAAGACTTATGGCAGGCAGGTAGTTCCACAATATAACCCCCCTATTCCTGTCTGCTTGGCAGTCTTGGACTAACGGGCCATCTGAATGCATCATGGGCCATTTGAATGCACTGTGGTACCAGCACACTGCTTATTTGCACATCTGTAATCTTCAGAAGCATAATAATCTCAGAGCAGTCGAAAACATAACATCAATCCAATATAAGTACACTAAGTCCTGCTTTGAACCATATCCTATGCTTCCACTTTATGCAAGCTATGACCACTGTCTTCTTCATTCAGGGATACTTCAGTTCATACTGGATACAGGTTCCTGTGCACTTGTACTGGTGCCCATGGCACTGATTACAGAATACAGCATGATGCAGAGCAGCACGTACTCCCCCCACCCTTGCTCTTCTGCCGTTGGTCTGTAACACAGTATGAGTGAAAACCATTCATAAGAACTGAAATTAAGATTTACCATTAATATAAATTCATTGGAAGTTACAGTATTATCTTTTCTTTGATCTGAATAGGATAAATATTTAATCACAATTCTGAGTTTCCTGTAATACAAGAATAATCTGAAAATCATTAATTACTCAAAAAAGATAAAGGCAAAGTTTCCTCAGAGCTTAGACACCACGGCATGAAGACATACAGGTGGTGTGGGGACAAAGTTCAATAGTAGTCATCAGCTTCATCCTGACTGATTTACCCTCGTGGAATTATCACAGGTACAAGGTGAAGAGAAGAATCCTGCCAGAAATTTACGCACAACATATTACAAAGTCTCTTTAATTATTAAGCTTCTAATGCAGCCCACTGGAGCAAGGATTATATCTGTCTGCAAGTAATATTTTATACTTATATAGTGTAATTCAGGAGAAGTCTATTGAACTTTGTAGATACATTAATCAAGTGATTATAAGTAAAATAATTACTATTAACTTGGGTCAAAGTTGAAAAGTCGTTGCAGTCCGTAAGAAAGAAAAATATTAAACTAAAATTTGTCTAATGATGAAACATGAAAGACAATACAAATTCTACGGTAATTTCAACATTAAAATGCAATAAGTGTTACTTAATAATGGAACAAGTTATAAAGTGTTTAAAGTGTTGGCCCGCAACTTAAATGCACATTTGAGCAATGTGTAACTGAAGTTACATCCTCAAGATCTGAAGGTTGTTTTGAATTTCATTTTCAGCAACCAGAATTGTCTGAAGGAGTGTATTTCTGTCATTTGTTCTTTGCATATAGGCTAGATGCTTTGTGTCACCCAAAGATAAGATATAGGATTAAAACTGGTGAATCATGATGGTGAAGCAGGTGGTTCTCCTTAGCTAATCTAATGATTTGGACACTTATGATAAACATACTCTAACACCAGCTGTTCATTTTGTAAAAAGGCAAAGCAAACACCCTCTGTGAGCATGTCCAGTCAGTACAAATTCAATTCACTACAAAAATGCAAAAATACAGTATTTTCTATGGCTCTCTGGTCCATATTCGGTCCATGACCTCCTCAATTCTCCTCTTCCATTAGGTCCGTCTGTCCGAGGCTTTGATCGAGATTTCGAAACATCTTCCTTTTTACGGTGCAAGGTTGTTAGCCTTGCGACCAACCCCCAACCTGGAGGACCAGGGTACCTGTCTTAGTCTGACCTCTCCCCCCCGACCAATCTGGCTAGGGAGGCCCTACCAGTAGCTATGCTACCGCCAGCATAGCTCGTATCTGTCATGTGAAAATTAAATATCTCCACTGTCATTGTCACACATCTCTTTCAGCACACGTATGCTATCTTGTTTTGCCATCACAGATGTACGTACAGCCCATCGAAAACTCCTATCATTGCTCCTACATCACATTGCCTTTTCACACTGAATGATTAATAACCAGTTACCTTGTGAATTTGGTTCTGGCAGGTTTTCTCGTGGCACCAGATGCATGACAGTGGTCTTGCCAAATGGTAAACCAAGTGCTCCAAGTGTGACATTGCTATGTAAAAAGCGACCCTGGTAGATAAGTCGCAAAATCTCTGCCTTTGCCACAGCTTCCTCGGCCCAATCTGTAGTGTTAACAAAAGAAAAATGTATCAGCTATAACTGAATAACACTGCATTTGTTGATGAAGATGGAGGCCATATGTACTTCCATAATGGTGGTATCTACCTATCTTCACTGTCATTAAGAGCCTTAAATCCTAGAGTAACTGGTGTCTGCCTTGGGTTCTCACCTGTCAACGCTATCAACCGTGTCCAACACATAGTTTTCTGTCAAAGCCTAACTGAATTGTTATGGTTTAATGTAAGTGGATCACCTACATTTTTATGGTAATCAGTTACTTAATATTGGTAATATCAACACAGCAGTCATGCCAACTTCTGAAGTCGAAGTGAGATGTCATTAAATTATACACAGAAACAGAATCATCATCATCAGTGGCTCTACAACCCGTGTGGGTCTTGGCCACCTCTCTACGGAGGTTTCTCGGTCTTTAAATTATACACGGAAATCACTGCTAATCTGTACAATAATCATTTTATTAAGTTTGCCTTTGAGTCACAATTAGATGTCTGTAGAGATGATTTGTGATCTATGGGTCACAGGCTAAATACTAGTTTGATAGTGAAAACCCCACTGGATAGCACGCTGGACTTGGTCATGGTCAAAAACAAAAACAAAAAGTAGTGATTATCTGTTCATATATGTAAGGGGATACTTTTAACAGCAATGGTCATGTGACATACTACAAGCACTAATGGAGTTACCACCCAGAAGACCAACATTGACATGTTCAAAGCTGTCAGAACCTCAAATCTCACCTACAGTCTACATGATGCTACACCTAGAAAACCACAGTCCACAGGATTCTCCCTGATCAACACAATCATAACTCCACTGGAGACGAGAGACACCAAATCAGACAGCTGTTCTGTACATGCTGAATGATGAAATTCATATTTCCATCAACAGGCAAAAGAAGCATGCCAGTCCCCGAAATTTCTATTCCTAACACAATACAACCAAAATGAGTCACAGAATACTATTCCACTTGCAACTGTACAGCACAAATATATTTCACCTTCTGGCCAATTATCAAATACTGTCTGCGCAATGTCCCCTGCAGAATCGCTGGGGCTAAACAGGAACTCTTTCGTCTTCCCGCTGACCAGGATCAACCGCAGGTTGATCTAAAAAAAGAAACAGGATGACATTAATTCAACCCATCACAGTATTGTTTGACACAAAACATACAAGACCAGATGTAAATAAAATCATCACACAAGGATGTAATATAACAAATTTCATATTGATCATATGCTTCTGCCTCCCACACACACCACAGGCAAGACAATAAGTTATAATACCCCACAAATTTTACTGCCGCACACTATACTTTTACCGTTTAGATTACAACCATGGAAGAAGATAGTAGTTTAACACAAAAATGATTCTTCGTTAGTTTCTTTTACTCTGTGCTTGATTTCCCACATCCGTGTTGTTTTACGATGGGTTAGGTTGTCAGGGAGAATTTCTAGCGTGTTCATCGGGTGGTCGTGGGGATGTCCTGGAGAATTGCTGGAGAAGTCCTAGAATAATGTTGGAGACGTCCTGGTGACGATATATGGAAATTTCTTGGAGTATTGCTAGAGAAGTAATGGAAGATTATTTGGAAGTCCTTAAGCGGTGGTGGGTTTGATCCTATGCGGTTCGGTTATTTTGGATTCGTTTAAGTTTGAGTGGGATAGGTTACATTGGCTTAGGTTGCGTTTTGGGTTAGGTTATGTTAAGTTAGGTTAGGTTTGGTTAAGTCAGGTAAGCTGAGGGTAGGTTATATAAGGTTGTTGTTTTACCATGGGTTGGGTTGTCCTGGAGAATTTCTATCGTGTTCATCGGGTGGTCGTGAGGATGTCCTGGAGAATCCTGGTGAATTCCAGGCAAATTCACTACACCAAAGTACCAAGTATCTGAATAGGAGGCATCTTAAAAGCAACCGAATCTTTATCTGTACGTATCGGAACTCGGCAGTGTCAGCAATATAACCTCACGTATCGACAACCAAACCAAACACCGCTTTGCGAAGCAATATCGGAATATGAACTCGCCCAAACTCACAAACGAGAGGTCAGGAATAAAACCACGGGCTGTAGCTACCTCTAAATCTCGGGGAACATTCCAGTATACCGACAGCCGCCGGCGGTTCGAACTGGAGCAGCCAGAGCGCTAGCGTACTAGAACCTGCACCCCACGTCCATTCTGCGCCAGCGCAACATAAAGACAGATTCTGTGCCGTCCTCCTAGTTCGGCCAGCCCTCACCCATTCCCGACGTCGCTCCCATTACTTCTCAGCACTCAAGAGCCGACAGGTCGGCTCAAACTTCTTTATTATGAACACAAACATTTCACATTGTGGCTTATTTTGTATGGCTGTGTTAGCTGTCTGATGCCCTGCGGCGAACAACCCAGAAGACAGCCATAATCTTCCCTTCCCTTCCCTTCTCTTTTGTACTCGAAGTGGCCGTTTCCTAATTTATTCCCCGTCTAAATTCAGTTCCAGTTTGCAGCTTTCACATTTAATCTATATGTTCAGCCTGTCGTAATACCCCGGATTTGATTTCGCAGAAGATTACAGGCGGTAGGCATGAATAACAAAAGTTCCTCATCATAAACAGCAACTTCATGTTAACATTCATAGGATCGCAATGTCCGTGTATAATGTGAAGATGGAAGGGAATTGGTCTAGCCAAGCGACCATCAGCTTTTAACGGGCTCAGCTCCATAGAGTTATGAATCGTGTGTAGGGGGA